CAAATTTAAGGAAGAGATTCCACCAATACTTAACTCGATAGCATGTCTGCATGTAAGGGAGGAAACTTATACAAAATGTACACCACTCCAAATTGATCATGTTGTTGATAGTGCTATAGATGCGCTGTGAATACAATTAGACTCTGTTGCTCCTTTGAAAAAGAATAAAATAAAACAACATAGATTAGCTCCATGGCATAATGTCGAAACCCGCAAAATAAAGCAAAAGTCGAGACAACTTGAAAGGATATGGCGTTCCACTAAACTTGAAGAATCTCGTTTAATTTGGCATATGAATATAAGAAAGCACTGCGTAAAGCGAGAGCAGCCTACTACTCTTCATTAATAGATGAGAATAAGAATAATGCAATATTTCTTTTCAGCACTGTAGCCAAGCTGACAGAGAGCCACAGCTCGATTGAGCCTTCTATTCCCATAGCACTCAGTAGCAATGATTTTATGTGCTTTTTTAATGATAAAATTGTTACTCTTAGAAACAAAATTAATTACCTCTTGCCTTTGACCAGTATAGTGTTATCAACAGCTCCCGGAAACGTAAGTTCTAATATTACACTAAATAGTAAACTAGAATGCTTTTCAGCCATAAACCTTGAACAATTACATTCAATGATTCTCTCTTCTAAACCATCAACATGTATGTTAGACCCAATTCCAACTAAGCTGTTGAAGGAAGTTTTTCCATTAATTAGCACTTCTTTATTAAATATTATGAATATGTCTTTATTATCAGGCTATGTTCCACAATCATTCAAAGTAGCAGTGATAAAACCGCTTCTTAAAAAGCACAACCTCGATCCAGAGGTTTTAGCCAACTATAGACCTATTTCTAATCTTCCGTTCCTCTCAAAATGTCTTGAGAAAGCAGTCGCAAAACAGTTGTGTGATTACTTAAAAAACAATGATTTATTTGAAGATTTTCAGTCTGGCTTTAGAACACATCATAGCACAGAGACAGCTCTGGTTAAAGTCACAAATTACATTCTAATAGCCTCTGACAAGGGACTTGTTTCTATTCTTGTCTTGCTCGATCTCAGTGCTGCATTTGATACTATCGACCATGATATCCTATTGCAAAGACTAGAGCACTTAGTTGGCATACAGGGAACTGCTTTAGGCTGGTTTAGGTCCTATCTATCTGAACGCTCTCAGTTTGTACGTGTCAACGATGAATCTTCCACGCAAACCAAAGTTAGCCATGGAGTGCCACAGGGCTCAGTGCTCGGACCTATTTTGTTCACATTATATATGCTTCCGTTAGGCAATATTATAAGGAATCATTCTGTACATTTTCATTGTTATGCGGATGATACTCAACTATATTTATCAATCAAGCCTGATGAAATTAATCATCTAAATAAAATTCAAGACTGCCTCAAGGACTTAAAAACGAGGATGACCTTAAACTTTTTGATGTTAAACACGACCAAAACTGAAGTTATTGTACTTGGCCCGAAGAATCTACGAAACAAATTATCTAAAGATATACTAACTATGGATGGCATTCATTTGGCCTCCAGTGAGACTGTAAGGAATCTTGGTGTTATATTTGATCAGGATTTATCCTTTAACGCCCACATAAAATCAATTTCAAGGACCGCCTACTTCCATCTACGTAACATTGCAAAAATCAGGCATATCTTGCCTCAAAACGATGCAGAGAAACTTGTCCATGAATTTGTTACTTCAAGGCTTGATTATTGTAACTCCTTGTTATCAGGGTGTACCAAGAATTCAGTCAAGTCGCTTCAGCTGATTCAAAATGCTGCAGCTCGTGTACTAACCAGAGTTAGGAAAAGGGACCACATTACTCCTGTTCTGGCTGCCTTACACTGGCTCCCTATAGAACACAGGATAGAATTTAAAATTATTCTTCTCGCCTACAAAGCCCTTAATGGGCAGGCGACATCTTACCTTAAAGAACTCATTATACCCTACTGTCCTACTAGGGCATTGCGTTCCAAGAATGCAGGGTTGTTGGTTGTTCCTAGAGTCTCTAAAAGTACAATGGGAGCCAGAGCCTTTTCTTATCAAGCTCCACATTTGTGGAATCAGCTTCCAGTCTGTGTTCGAGCGGCAGACACCCTATCCGTTTTTAAGAGTGCGCTTAATACCTTCCTTTTTGATAAAGCTTATAGTTAGGTTTGATTAGATTCAGCCCCTAGTTTTGCTGATATAGGCTTAGTTTGTCGGGGGACATCTTACTTCTTCCTTCTCTTTGTCTATACCTGTGTACTCTCATGTTCCGATTAACCCAGCTTCCCCAAATGTCTTTCTTTTTGGTGTCTATATACGCTGGGATCCGGAGTCATGGATGATCCTGTGTCCTGCTTCGCGAGCCCTGGATCTTGAGTCGTGGCTGTGGTCCTGGATCATAGGTCCTGGATGGATATCCTCATGGATTCATCTTCCTATTATACACACACATGCATTTCCAAACATTTGGACTACCTATGTTGCAAATGTATTATCTTTTCAATTTACACACGGCATCTATTGCACGTCTGTCCGTCCTGGGAGAGGGATCCCTCCGCTGTTGCTCTCCCTGAGGTTTCTCCCATTTTTCCCTTTAAACTGTGGGTTTTCTCCAGAAGTTTTTCCTTGTACGATGTGAGGGTCTAAGGACAGAGGGTGTCGTATTGTCATACTGATATTCTGTACAAACTGTGAAGTCCACTGAGACAAATGTAACATTTGTGATATTGGGCTATATAAATAAACATTGATTGATTGAGCGCACGCACACGGCATGAGTTTTCTTTTACTTGACGACCTCATAGTCATGGCTGGGTCCCGGGAACAGGCAATGTTTTGCACAGCACAATTGATCACACACCTAACCAAATTAGGCTTTGCGATCAATTGAAAAAAGAGCACCCCCATACCTCACCAACAGGCGTGGGAGTTGGGAGTGGTGCTCGATGCAGGCGCGCTACGCGCCACCCTGTCAGAGAGCAGACGTGCGTCCCTTCTCCGGGCGGTTCACAGGCTGCGACAGGGGGCGACAGTGACAGCTTTAACCTCTTAAGCCCTGAGCCTGTTTTTCAGGTTTCAGGCTCGAAAATGCTATGCCCAAAACAAATGACTATAACTTAACTTCTAAAAGGGTTATATGAATAATTTATTTTATCAAAGCAAGGTTACATCTGTGAGTTGGATGTAGAAGTGTCAGAATCAATATAGATATTTCTCAGTCAGAGTAAATTCAGATGGAACATAGTAAAAAAAGGTAAATTCTTACCTCTGCCTTAAAAAAAAACATTACTTATAGTGAAAACTACCCTTCAATGATGGGATAGTAGACTAAAAGCTTTAGGAATCCAAAGTATAACATATAAGTACCCTGTATCAAGATTGAGGCAAAACAAGTTAAATTTGACCTTTTTAGAGAGGTTTAGCAAAAAGTAGTCCAGGCGGACTGACCTTTGAGCACATTTTGGCACATTTGGATACCATCAGTACCATTTGACCTTTTTCAGGTACCATACTGTAAAAATAATTTTATTATCACTATAGGTAATCATTCCATCCAAATACAAGTGTTTTTATAAAAAAAAAAAATTATTTTTAAATGACATTTTTTTTAATGTAAATGGTGTGTGTGTGTAAGAACAAATGTACACAACTTGAATGTGTTTAGTGTTTTTGAATTGAGGCACCAGGCACTTGGTGCAGTAGATAGGTCTTCACCGTTGTGTTGCCAGCATCAGAGCACCTCCTGAGTGCGGTGGCATCTTCCCCATAATACTTGGGAATGCATACAAGTGATGATGGGGGGAGTGGTGGTGATGCTGCAGGGACTTCACCCCTCATGTCTGCAGCAAGTTGCTCCCTGAAGGACTTCTGATGGGTGTGTGGCTTCGTCCTGCCGGGGTCACCCCTCATCTTGTGCAGCTCCTTGTGGAGAAGGAAGCTGTTCACCACTGCAATGTCCAGAAAATGGTAAAAAAAAGTCTTGTACCATTTCATGGTTTTGTGGTGATTTTTTTTTTGTGGTAGTACCCAATCAAAGCATCGGACACATCCACGCAGCCCATGCTTCTGTTGTAGTCCACCACAGCGTCAGGAACGGTAACAATCTTAGTCTGCCACACACCAGCCCATTTCACTTTCCTCCTTACAGTCTGTCCACTGAATCAGAAGATGCAGAGGGAGGCTGAGTTAGTACTGGTGCAGACATCCGGCGGCGTAGCTTGGATGTTGATGGCTCTGGGGCAACTGTATGCTGATCTGATGCACGTCGTAGCTCGGATGAGGCAGATGTTGATGGCTGTGATCCAGAAGCCATTTGATACTCGTCTTCATCACTGTGAAAACTAATGTGGAAAAAACAATTACTTTGATTACTTCACTGGCTTATTCTTTCAAAAATGTAACTCAAATCAGAAATAATTCCTCCATTTAGCGTGTGTGAAATAACAGTATACATATACATATGTAGTGTGAAATAACAGTATACACATCGTCGATTTAGAGGAATATCTCAATTTAAATTAACATTAAGACGGTTGTGATGTCTTCACCCCCATGCCAGCTGCTCTCCCTGCACTGTCTGCCTCCTCATGCTTATATACTGTTAATAATTGACCAGCACAAGTAGAAATGAAAACAATTGTAACAAGAAAAAGTTTAACAAATACAATACATTTATTTATAAAATGTCAATATAAAGAACCAATAGCAGCCTTTTCCTTTAGTGCATTTTTTTTTTAAGTGTAACAAAATTAGAACCAGAATAATATATATTATATATATATATATATATATAATATATATTATAAAAAAATAAAGTGCATGTCTTTGTTTGTGTGTTTTGGTTTACATGTCTCATGTTGTAGGTGTTTGTGGCAGATTTTGATGCCTTGATGACAGAGGGAGGGGGCTCCCATTTGAAACACTGTGGCTCAAGGTTTGCCATCTTCACTGTCATGATGGATGATAGAGTTCCATCAAGAGCCAAACTGTTTTGGATTTTGGTTTTCTTCAGTCCCATCACAGAAAACACTCGTTCAGCATTTGAATGTGGAAGTACCAACACCAACTTGGCAATACGAGAGAGCCTCCCAAATCTGCTCATACCGGCCACCTTTGAAAAATGTACATAGGAAGCCTAATTACTCTCAAGTATTTTTGTATAGAATTAAGTTGATTACGTCAATGGGTATTTCAAAGGGTGCAGAATAATTCTTACCTTATTCTTCATTGATGCCATGTTCCCCCAAAAGCTCTCAATGTCGAACGTGGCTGGGTCTTCGGGCATGGCAATGTCCATGGACTGGTAGTCCAGAACCTCCTCACTCAGTTTGTCACGCTCGTCAGGTCCGTTGTCTGGGAGAAGTTCAGGAAACCTAAAAAGAACACAATGTGCACTGATCTGGTAAAGTAATGTAGCTGAAACGGGTTGTTTTTAAGATGTGGTCATTAAACTTTACAATCTATTAAGAAAATGTGACAAGAGTCTTTAGCCTGCTCTACTTAAGCATATTGAGATAACTTGTGTTGTGATTTGGCACTATAGATAAATGTACTTGACTTGATACCCCAACTAACCTGTCGACAAAGTACAAGGTGTCTTCCACTCCACACTCTACCCTCTACCCTCTGCTGGACATCCAGAAACATGGCATGTTTTATCTGGGGCTCTCTCATGGGGAGTTTCTTCGTGGCATACTCCACAGCCCTCACCAGAAACGCCACTGCTGCCTGCTGGAACCTCTGCACTTGCTGCGGTGTAATGTCTCCTGCATCAAGGAGCCTGTTGAGTGTAGCTCGAGTAGTGAAGCCGATCACCAGCTTTTCTCCTACGAGAGACACAATAAATCAACAACGTCACAGAGGTCATTAAGGTGCTGTATGCGATTCTGGAGAAAGATTGATGCAATATGTTCTCATTCCCAACACCAACATGTCAGTATGAGACTGGGAATAAGACCGGTGTTGAGTCACTTTAGCAATCACAATAGCTAACTTGAAAGCACCCCTTTAAGTATCTTCATCACATCAGTGATTGATTGATTGATTGAATACTTTATTAGACAGAAATGCAAACAGCACAAGGTACAGTCACACATGGGCTAAAAGGATAACATAAAAAAAGTCCTGTGGACTTGTTTCCATTGTAGTCCTGTGTGTGTGATGAGATTATCAAACTCAGAACTTGTCTGCACAAGAAGCCCTCTAACAAACACAAACAGTACGATGTGAGTGAGATCAGTGAGTGGATAGTGTACGTGCATCTGCTGATGTGAAACTTGGAGGATTACCTGGCAGTTGGTTTGATGGGTCCTTATAGAGGATTTCATGCAATTCCCGGTGCTGCAGGCTTCAGAAACTTCGAGAGCAACTTGCGGATGAAACTACGTATCTACAAATTTGTATTTCAGAAAAGATTTTCAAAATTACATTTAACCTAGAAGTAGAGTGCTAATGAGAAAGGAACAAACATAGTACATTATTACTAGCATACTGTATCCCAACCTTCCCAATTTACCTCATCATGTAGAAGGAAGATGGAGGACTTCTCTCTCTGGAGGAGGTTGAAGGTGGAGAAGACTGGCAACGTTGCTTGATAGAAGAGGAGGTACACCCAGGGCCGCCCCTCCCTACAGGCCAATCACGCAGGCTGCATGGGGCCCCGCCTTGCGCAGGGGGCCCCGCCCAGAGGGCCTCAGCTGCTGTGCGCAGTTCTCCGCTCAGTTCTCCGCGCACCCCCCGCGAGAGTGAGAGGTGACAAGGGGAGCACGTGTGTAACCCGACACCGTTGCAATTAATCGACATCTGACCAATCACGGCTTTGATACGGCCACTAGTGCAGGTGAAGAGATGTCGGTGAAGAGATGTCGGTGAAAAGACAGTTTCAGTCCGGCGCAAAAAACAAAACATGAAGAAACTAGAGCATCACTCGAAGGTGGGTTATTGTATGAGTCAAATGTACAACTTACGAATGTTGTATAAGTCAAATTGCCAATTGCCATATTAAAACATCAGCTGCAATTCACGACATGAAGAAGGCAGTCTCTGCAGAGCATACAGGCTAATGGAGATGCAGTTATTTCCAGCATTCTTTATTTACCATTCATTCAAGTATGTGATGCCTTTGATCTGCTAATGTACAGGAGGAAGAGTGATACACTGTCTGTCTAGTTGGCTTACATAACAGTTAAAGTTTACAGCCTAAAAAACATGGAGCATTTTTTCCCCCTTTTATTCATTTTTATGTCAATTTGCACATTTCATGGTGATGCTCAGCCTCTCCCCTTAAGGCAAGGCAAGTTTATTTATACAGCACCTTTCAACACAAGGCAATTCAAGGTGCTTTACAAAAATGAAAGACATTCAGACAAAGGCATTTAAAAACAGTAAAAGATAATAAAAGAAACATTAAAAGAAAAAATATATGAATAAAAAGTAAACTTTTAGTCCTAGCAGTCATCATCATGGTGACGCTTAGCCTCTCCCCTTAACTCCTAGCAGTCATCATCATGTCAACCACAACACAGAGAAACACTGATAGAAATGTGTGTGTAGTTGTTGATGCATTGCTGACAGAGGGAACTAGAATACAGATTTAAGAAATATCAGTTTTTGAGCATGTCATAAGCATGTTTTGTCTTGACTATATTACAACTATATTATAATAAAACAATATATTTATATTATTGAATTGATTATGATTATTATTATTATTAGTAGAAGTAGTTTATTTGCATTAATTATATTTTAATCTTTTGAGGCTAGTATTTGGCAGGAAATGCAAAATTCACCTGTAAACGCATACTGAACGACATACATGCACATTTACCATTTACCTCACTGTATAAAAAAGTAACTGTGTTGATAATAATAATAAACAGGAATTATATTTGCAAAGTAGCCTACTTTGTTTCCAAAAACAACTGTCGGTTGGGGGGGGGGGGGGGGGGGGGGCCTCATCTCACAATGTCGCTTGGGGCCCCAAGTTGGCCAGGGGCGGCCCTGGGTACACCTCTGTCATTGGGTTAGAGAATGCTTCCAACAGCCTCCTGAACCTTGGTTGTTTCTCATCTGTGAATAAAAAAAAACACAGGTTGTGCATACTACATACATTTACTTTTCAGTCTGTTATAATAATCGTTCGTTCATTTGGATCATTGAAATATGATGCCTACTTGATGACTTGAAGTAGCTGGCTGCTGTACGTGTACGTGTTGTGATGTCTGTGTTTGCTTCCCCTGTCCGAGTTCGGATCACTCAGTGATGATACTATATACCTAAATAATCTGTGGAACCTCAGCTTTAATCGGATATCTTGTATTGCAGCTACGATAAGTAATAAGGGTACTTTTATCCTGAGTTCTGTGCCAAAGTGTGTTAGCATTTTTCGCTCAGGGGTCATTTAGATGCTTCTTATGAGACTTGTGTTTTGTTTTGGTAAAAATGGTTTGTATCGTCAGTTAGCTGAGATTATTTCCGTTAATTTGGTATAACACATTAATAGGTTCTTAAATATTAAGATCCCCTGAGACACAGTGTCGTGAAAAAAAAAAAGTAAAGTACCCGCTGGGACTTTGGGGCTTAACAGGTTAAAAAAACCGCCAATATATACCGCAGGGGGGGGGGATTTTTTCAATATCGTGCAGCCCTAGCGTGAGGTGACTTTTCTCGGTCACAGGCTAACGGAGGGCGGCGTCGGCACCATGGGATTGAAGGTACAGGCTGTGATGGACTGGCCCACCCCCAGCTCTGTGCAGGACCTGAAGAGCTTCCTGGGCCTGTCCTCTTACTACAGGAGGTTTGTGAAAGGGTTCTCCTGCATAGCTGCGCCGCTGTTCCGCCTGTTACAGAAAGGAGAGGTGTTTTCATGGACAGTGGAGTGTCAGGCAGCATTTGCTTTACTACAGGAAGCCCTAGTGGAGCCACCGATCCTCTTCCCCCCTGACCCCACCCTTCCCTTCATCCTCGACACCGATGCCAGCAACAGTGGAGCAGGAGCCGTGCTGGCCCAGGTGACACCAGAAGGAGAGAGAGTAGTGGCCTACTATAGCAGAACATTTAACAAAGCTGAACGCCGCTACTGTGTCACCAGACGGGAACTGCTTGCTGTGGTCAGCGCCATCCGGCACTTCAAGTACTACCTAGGGGGCCTCCACTTCACAGTCCGGACTGATCACTCTGTCTTACAGTGGCTCATGTCCTTCAAAGAACCAGAAGGCCAGCTGGCACGCTGGATTGAAGAGTTACAAGCATATGACTTCACCATAATTCACAGACCTGGCGTGCAGCACGGCAACGCTGATGCACTCTCCCGCCGCCCCTGCTACAGTGATGACTGCCGCTACTGCGTGAAGAGAGACACAGGAGAGGGAATGTCTACAGGCTGAGGTGATATGTGCAGCGGTGGGACCAGTCGGGGCATCAACTGACCATGGACTTTTAGCTGTAGATGCTGCCGAATGGAGGAAGAATCAGGAGGGGGATGTCGACATCAGGCCGGTAACCGCTTGGGTGGCTGCACAACACAAACCCCGGTGGGAACGTTCTCTGAGTTTTCTCGTGCCACTAAAGGGCTATGGTCAATGTTTGAAGCCCTGCGCCTGTGTGATGGAGTGCTGCAGAGCGGGTGGAAGGAACCGGCTGCAGGAGACACAAGGTGGCAGGTGGTGGTGCCGAGGACCCTGCGGGAGACGGTACTTCGGTCAGTGCATGGAACTCCAGGATCTGGTCACTTTGGAGTCTCTAAGACTCTACGCCTGCCTGCGACAGAGATTCTACTGGGGCCAACACAGACGAGATGTGGAAGATTACTGTCGCCGCTGCGACAGCTGCACTGCACGTAAGGGCCCTACCGACAGATCTCATGCCCAGCTCCAGCAGTTTCCGGTAGGGTGCACAATCGAGAGGATCGGGCCGTTTCCCCGCACAGAAAAAGGGAACCGCTACATCCTCATAGCCATGGACTACTTCACTAACTGGCCTGAGGCATACAGCCTACCAGATCAAGAGGCAGAGACTATTGTGGACGCTTTGGTGTAGGGAATGTTTAGCAGGTTCGGGGCGCCTGAAGTCATACACACAGACCAGGGCCGGAACTTTGAGTCCCGAGTGTTTAAGGCTATGTGCGAAAAACTGGGATCCCATAAGACCCGCACCACACCCCTTCACCCACAGAGCGATGGCCTCGTGGAAAGGTTCAACCGCACACTGTCTCAACAGCTTGCCATAGTGACGGCAAAACACCAAAGAGACTGGGACGCCCATGTCCCCCTTGTGCTGATGGCGTACCGGTCTGGGACCCAAGATTCCACTTCCTGCTCCCCTGCCCTCCTCATGTTAGGAAGGGAGATGCGCAGGCCGGGCGAGATGATGATGGGCATGCCCCCCGACGCTCCTGTGGACCCCCCAGGGTTCGAATATGCCAGGAAACTCCAGGAACGGTTGCAGTCTGCTCACGACTTTGCCAGGCGCCAGCTACAGAGTGCAGGGGCGAGGCAGAAGAGGAACTACGACGTGCATGCTAGAGGACGGCATTTCAGTGCAAGCGAGTTGGTATGGGTGTATAACCCACAGAGGAAGAAGGGCAGATGCCCAAAGCTGGACAGCAACTGGGAAGGGCCCAGCAGGGTTCTGGAGAGATTGAGTGAGGTCGTCTACAGGGTCCAACTGCAGCGGAGAGGGAGAATAGTTGCTCTTCACCGGGACAGGTTGGCACCCTATCGGGGTACAGCGACACCACTAGGATCAGGTGGTGAGACACAGGGGGCTATGGACACTGTTCTTTCTTCTTCCCAACCCCCCTCTCACGACCCAGGGACCTTGCCTGGTTCCCCACAACCTGGACTTTTTTATCCCTTGCCCTACTCTGGGCCCCACGGCAGAGTCCTGCATCGGGTCGGGTACCCGCGGGTACCCGACGGGTGACCCGCAAAAAAGGTGATTCGCGGGTGGTATTTTTTCAAACGCTTTTTTTCCGGGTTCGGTTCTGGGTAAAACAAAGATGATGTGGGTCGGGTCGCGGGGTATTGCATAATAAATATATTAAAATAATAATAAATTAGTTTAATGTTTAAAATCCGCAGACCTCTCCCCCGCGGGACCGCGCATAATCATAACCTCTGCAGCGCATCAATCTGCTGCTGTGCGCGCCACATTCGAAATGGCTGAGGTGAAGCTCTCTAGCGGAGAATACAGCATTTTCAATAACACTTCCTCAAGAGCGAAATCCAACGTCTGGGAGGCTTTTTGTGTCATCCTAGATGGAGGAAATAACCAACATCCCACGCTTTCTGAGACAAATATGAAACTGCGTGTGTTAATAATTGCACGTTTTCACTGCTCATAGGCTATGCGGGTTCGGGTCGGGTTGCGGATCTTGTGCCGACGGGTCGGG